AAATTTGGTTAAAAATAGACCTAGTTACCTTGACTTGTGATCATTTTTTTCCTGAAGAGTAACTTCTATCTAGATGGCTGATTTTGGTCTGTAATGCACAGTTTGCACAGCTGCAAACCTCAATGTCTCTTTTACAGTTAAAATTTTATGACTTTTCTTATTTTTTTTGTCATGCACCAGAGCTCTAAGCATAAACCTGAACGAAGCAGCTCTGTGCAGCAGCAGCAGAACAGTAAAGATCTGTTGTAAAACATAGAAGGGGGCTGTCGAAACCTCCTGCATTTTCTGTTCACCTGTACAGAAGCAGGTGCTGCTACATTTTACCATTAATCCCTTACTGTATGAGCAAAGACGCAAAAATCAGACCGTGGTCAGAGCCATGGACGTACCTAACAGCCATCGGATCCCGTGGCACAAGTCAGGACAGATTTCTGCAGCAGCAGCAATCCTCTTCCGGAGGACTGGGTGAGGCAATCTCCAGCAGAAGGGAGAAAGCTAGAGCAGGCAAAAGTCTCGCTCTTCACCGCGACAGCTGAGCTGCAGGAGAAGCTGGGAGCCCTTTCCTGGCAGGACAGAGCTGAGTGTGAGCAGCCTGTTGAATCGGAGCAGCAGCTGGAAAGGAGACTAGCATGTGGGAATAAATGACTTGAATGTAATTCAGATGGCTGCAGTGATTGCTGGGGCCTGTAGATGTCCGTATGCAGTGAAAAAAAGCCTATGCCCAGAGCAGAGCACACCTCACAGAAATAAAGCCAGCTCCACAGCCAATGTACATCCCCTCTGCTGCCACATACAGCCAGACGTCTAAAGCATGGGGCGTAACAGTTACGGGCACCGAGATAACTGCTGCACTAAAACCCACCAGGTAAGCCTGAAACCAGAGACAGTTAATCAAAATGCACGCTGGAGTGTAAGGGGCCAAGACTAACGATGGGCTCAGTGTACAAAAGACAGCAGCCGATTCAGTTTATGACCCTGGGAATGTAACTCCCGAGCCTTCTGGGAAAATGAGCAAGGTTTCTGGCAATAACCTAAGCCAACTCACCGCAGGAAATTTATACGTCGCTCAAAGTGCAAAGTGACTACAGGTAGAGCTCGAACGTCCCTGCTCCAGCTTTACGCTTCCAGTAGAAGAACAGTGAGACAATACAGAGCCCCTACGCTGCAAAAGTTAGTAACTCTAGTCAAGCAATTAATGTTACAGTGCTACAGAAAGAGTCACAAGGCCAGTTTTGTTTCATGATGCCATTCCACAGAGCCACTTGAAAAGATGGGTGAGGATTGTCACAGACCTGTGCTCAGCTGCAGTGGAACGCGGCAGTTCCCATTGCCAGAAATTTCGCTCGGACATCGCCACGACCTTTTGCTACTCCCAAAGGACAGGGTGGGAGTGCAGCAGCGCTTGTCTTCACTGCTTCGCTTTTTAAATACCTAAAGCTGTTAACCTGCAACAGTTAGAAGCAAAGTGAAAAAAAGAAAAGATTTTCCAAACTTGGATGGTGTAAGAAGCAGCAACTAACAGGCTTCTTGTTCACTACTAACCAATTTAATCTGACATTAGAAAAATCACTTTGATCATAAAGCCTGTATGGTAAGTGTACAAGGAGCAAAATGCATTAAAAAAAAAAATACAAATAGACTAGACTGAATCCCACAGTGCAAATGCACAGAGTTCAGGAAGCAGTTAGCTACTGCTAGCATTTACTTACATGCTCTTTTGAAGGCAGTGCGTGAAACATTCCTATTTAACAAAAGAAAGGTTACTGCGCACACCTCTTTCGTTAGGGCTTCCCTACAGGTGGCCAAAGGGATATTAATTTCCCCTGAAATGCTGCGTCATTTGTTACTAACAGACTCCAACCACCTCCTAACCAGAAAGAAAACTGGGCAGATGTCAATCTCCTGCTTGATTTTTTCCACATACAAAAAAAAAATGGAGGAGGGAATTCTCTAAGCAGCTCAGACCATTCATTGCAGGTTAGAAAAAAAAACCCCTTATATGTGCAGAGAAATTACAAGCTGCTTGTAATTAACATGTCTACGTAAGGTAATGAGAGAAAGGTCTTCAGCAACAAAATTCTTGTGTGTCTCCACAGCTTCCAATTCCAGTGTCTAAAATGTTTCTAACCTAATGAGTGAACAAGATATAAAAATGGTTTTACCATCTGTACAGCATCAGAGGCATCAGAAACTTAAAAGAGGTTGGTTTGTTTTTTTAAAATAAAAGTTATTTCTAATGGAAGATGGCATCTGTAAATAAGTGAAGCGGTACCAAACAAGCAAACGAGTACGGTGAGTACAGGAAAATGTACAAAGCTGAATATAAAGTCATTGATGAAGAGTATCAGGCACACTTTTTATACTAGATTAGTAAAAACATCAAAAATACTTCTACATCAGAAAAAGAAATGTTTTACATCCAAGCTTACGCTCCCAGACAAGCACACTTCGTTTACATCTGGCACTATTAGGAACAAATCATGTTAGGAATTCCTGAGTTTAAATAAAGACAAAAACCTAAATACTGCCCTAGGGATAGTGTGATTCCTTTATTATGAGAAGCACAGAGAACAGTCTCCTGCTTGCAAGTTTTAGTCAAGAAGTGAGGCAGGTCACAAACTCCAGGAGCGTCCTGCCTCGTACTCCTGGATCTCAGAGGTGTTCAACCTCCCCACTTACCCCCTTCAAAATAAAGTGAAGGGTGATTAATGCCATTTGTGTTGTGCTAGTACTTTACAGTGCCTCAAAACTGACTTAAAAATAGTCCAAGAGTGCTTGTTTGTCTAAAAATTAACTGCATAAAATATTCCATAATACGGGCAGAGTAAAATAACCACAGATGGAAAATGATCTGCAGGGATACAGAATTACCTGAGCGTTTTTCTGTTTAGTTAAGCATGTGTCGGTCTACTCGGTATATAATCACTGTGCGACACTAAAAATTTTTAAAGACTATGTGAGATTCAAATGGCATGTCATATGCAGAACTTTCTGGTGCCCATACACATCCACCATAATTGAGAAAGTTTTATCATCTAGCTCATAGCAAAGGAGATCTGAAATTCCAGACAACTTATACATTACATGCATGTTCTGAACTGTGTAAAATAAAATGGAGCTATTATCTTAGACTTTAAATATTTTACTATGCAATACTAAACCCATCTGTCTTCCAACACAAGAAGAAAATACAAATCCAACTGAATGGCTTGTCAGAGTAACGGTACTTTGCAGAAATATAATATTAATGTAATACTATGGTCTTTCCCAAACTGTTGGCATTTCAGATATTAAGAGTATTTTTCTTTTGTATTGCACAGACTCAAACGCATAGACAGCCATTTTCATACACTAGAGTAAGAAAACTTCCCAGATTATATGAATAAAATAGATACACTGGAAATCAGATAAAGCTTTACAAGAATTTCCCCATGTGTCCAAAATTATTTCCTTTATCAAAGGCGTAACGGTGATGTGATTACTTCTTCTAGAGTAACATGTTTTACATCAGATTGTGCCCAAATACAAAACAAAACAAAAAAGCACCACTTAAGTAAAAGACAAATGATCACGGCAAAGATAGCAGGTTTTATAAAGGATGCTAAGATTAAGATGAAATTTCTTGAGAATACTATTGCCACAGATAAGCGTCTCAGAAAATCCGAATGAACGTACCCTTTAACCTTTTCATTGCATTTTCGTACTTCATGACCTCACGGTCCATTTCATGATCCAGTTAATGTCTTGTTACACCAGCAAACGGTTCTCATCAAAAGCAGGATAAAGACTGGTTTTTCAGACAGGCTGAAGGAGCCGAGCGCCTTCCAGACCAGGGTGAAATCCCAGGTGCTTCAAGGCAGCAATTAGCACTTCTGAAGCCCAGCAGTGACAGGCAGCTGTCACGCATCAGCCTCCCAGCACTACAGCACTCGCTCGGCTCAACCTGGAGCCTGGTTTCTGCCTCTACAGACAAGCACTGCCGCTTTAATCGAGCTGCGCGCAGGCCGTCTTGTCAGCACACTGGCATTTAACTTGCACTCGTGAGCTGGGAACTTTTATACCCCCATTTTTTTCTTTCTCTTTTTTTTTTTTTTTGTTTTTTAATACTCAAGTAAGATATTGTTACATCCCATTCATATACTGCCATCTATAATATTTATATATAATATTAACATACACATATATAAGGACTAGGATACTCTTTATGGCCTCTATTTTCTGATGTATTTAAGAAAAACAAACAAATAAACAAAACCCCCCAAAAGAAAATCAATTGCTGGTGTTTCCAGTTTCCCAACAGAGATGCAGGACCAAACCCTGAGCAACTGCTCTGTGCTATGCTTTTGTGGCAACAAGGAATTCTGCACCAGAGGGGCCCGTATTACCTCAGTGTCAGTGTACTGGGGAGGGAAATCAAAAATCTGCAACAAGAGCTCATCCAAAGGGGTATAACCTAAATGAATGTCTGTATTTCAAGACAGGACAAACTCAAGAGCCTAAAGGATTAATGCAGCGCAGCCCACAAGTCTGGGTTTGTTTTGTGAAAGCAAAACATCATAGCTATGTGTGCAATGTAAGAAAAACTGAACACCATTCACACAGGCGGGAAGAAACAACCACTACAATGTGCCGTGTCATGCTCCCGGCTGTGCTACGGACTGAAAATACAGGGGAAGGAGTAACTTCTGCATCAGTAATATTGCCTGAAAAGCTACGTGTGGAAAACCAAACCAAAGCCAAACCCGAAACCCAACTACCTTCATGCTTTGGTCAGTGCAAGAGTCATGGGGAGTGAGGAAGCAGTTGCAGGGACCAGGACAATGCGGGGACTCTGAACTCTGGACAAAAAGCACGTGTGTGTGAATTGCGGCACGGTGATGGTCCTGCAGCTATCCTGGCTCAGCCTTCCATAAAAGAAATGCTTGGTTTTATGCTGGCTCAAAAATAACAGAAAAACCCTCGGTCAATTCCAAAGGGACATCAAAAGGCCATGGGGAGTGTTACTCAAAGGTTTCCCATCGCTTTCTGAGTTGTTCAACCTTACCTGGTGTGGATGACACATCTTGCTTTGTCTTTTTCAACAAATCTTCAAATGGATCTTTTGTCTCCTCAGATTTTGAGGATAGTAACACTGACTCTAAGACCTTAGCTGGCCTGGAAGGGATCAAAGGGGGTTCATTAGACAGGAGAGCTAGTGCTTGTTTGGGATCTACCTTTGAGCTGGACTGGCCCACCTGTAATGTTCTGGTTTTAGAAGGACCACTTAAACATGCTGGCTGTAGAGAGCTTGTTGGAGAAGGGCTGTGGCTCTGCAGCAATAAGGAGCCAGCTGGTGGCACAGGGGCAGCCTGGCTAAACAAGTTTGGCATGGATAGTGTTGAAATGTTTGGTTGAGGTCTTTGTGGTGGGTAGAAGCTAGAATTAGGCGTTATGAAGCTAGAGCTATAAGCATGACCTAAAGAGGGGGTGAAAGAGCCCCTTGGGGGTCTAACTAGAGACACTGAAAGGGCTCCTGGCACTGTTTGTGTAAATGGATTAGAAGATGGCTGTAAAAAACGTGGTGCTGCTGGGGAAGGATAACTAAGTGGCTGGACAAATGGTGCAGCTGGAGGAGGCACAAAGTCACTTGCCACTGAGACAAAGCCAGCTGCAGAAGGTGGAGTGGCTGAGCTTTGCAGGCTGTGGGGACTTTGCTGTGGGCCACTGCTTTGCCAGCTGGCTGTTTTTAACGGATCCAGGAGGTTAAGAAGGTAGTCGCTTTCACTACCTGTATTATCTGTTTTCACCTTGACAGGCTGCAGCATGTCAGCAGTGCTGGTAGCACTGGACAAAAGCAGAGACGGATGAGAGGAATAATTCACAGACTGCTGAATTTCAGGGTCTAAGGACACACTACCAACTCCAAAGGGCTCTGGCATAAGATCTGAAACCAAATGGCTACGTCCTGTAGCATGGGTGGTGAGAATTTCTGTTGGCCCAGCTGGAGTCTGATGCTTGGCAGCCCTGGGCGCTGGTGGTGGTGGTACTATCCCCAGTTCAGGAGTCTTTCTTCCCTGTGGCCTAGGAATGGTGATGTTTCCTTGAATGGCAGGATTTGATTCATCCTTTTCTGCAGGAGCCAGAATGCTGTCTCTGCTGCGGGGTCTTCTTGTGATTGGTGGCATGTTACCAAGTGCAGTCAAGGGCCTTTCCGGTGAGCTTTGGGAATACTTGGTAGGAATAGCCATATCATCATGGCCCATACTCCACAGCTTGTTGTAAGGGTGAGACAGCTTCATGGTTGGCATAATCCTGTTCCTCTCAGAAACACCAAGATCCATTCTCTGCAAGAAAGTGGGGAGGAAAAAAAAGGGGGGGGGGGCAACTTTTACTGATCTCCTCACAACAAAGAACATAAAATGAAGACAAGCTGCTGAGCTATGAGTGGAAGAGGATCTGTCCACACTGTGAGCACTGGAGAGAGACAATAGCATGCAGCGTAAAAGAACAGATAGGAGATGAGAAGCAGTACTCTGCAGTTTTAATTCCAGCTCTGCTTCTAATGTGTTGTTCAGCTGTTACATTTTGTGGCATCTGTTGTTAGCCAAGTAAGGAGGATGTACCAATATCTAAGGTACAGAAATTGAGATGCCTTAATTGCTGTATAGAAATAGCTGTGAAATGAACTATCTGCATATAACACTAAATTAAGTATTATTATAAGGTAGAAATGACATTATTTTCTTTCATGTCACATGAAGATCTGAGAGTCTGCTTTAGTTTGGCATTTTTCTAAGCTGCATATATTCAGTGAAGTTCTTCATAAAGAATCTCTCTTCTACAATCTAGATTGTTCAAATCATGCCTAGACCAAAATGGCCAGATTAAAAGAAGGTCATTTAAAAAGCATGCAGTTTGGAAGGGACGTGAAAATTCCCAGGTATTCATTCTCATTGCTGAGCATCAGCTTCAAAGATAACTCTGTGTGCTGGCCAGTGGACAAAACAGATTCTAATAGGGCAATTATTTCCTCCTTTACAAGTAAAGGCTGTAGTTTTAGTGGAAAAAGTTACTGTCTTCTGAGTCCCATTCCAATTATTTCTTAATTCAGAAATTAACTTTGAAACCTATGCACAAATGGCTGGAAAATTGATGCATCTACCCAATAATATGAAAACGTTCCTCAAATAATAATGGAAGACAGCCAGCCCTAGATCTGTGAAAAGCCCCCCAGCGTACATGAAACCCTGTCCAAACCTGGTAATCAAATGTGCATCGCTGATCTCCCTCTTCTTTGGGAGTCCGCAGGTCTTCTAGGCTCTTGGCTTGGCTGAGAGGCTGAGGCTGCGTTTCTACTTCCAAGTTAGGGAAAATGTCTTCAAGAAGGTTGATTTCTGTGGCCTTACTTGAGAGCAAAGGGCTTGGAGGCAGAGGCTCTTTTGATTTTTCTGGACTGGCTGCCTCTTCCCCATCAGCACTATCAGATTCTTTCAGGGCCCGGTACGGTTGAGGCCTAGGAGAGAAACAAAAATCATGTTGCAAATGACTGTCTTCCTAATTTTTTTTTTTTTTAAACAAGTATTTACTAAGTAGCTGGATGGCTTTATAAAAAGCAAACACAGTGGTGGCAAAACACAGCTTACAGTGCCTTGAGAACAGCAAGTGTGAGCAGTGACCAAGGGCAGAAGGACATACAAGGATGATGTGGCACTCGAGGGGTTTTCCGGAAGGAAAAAGGCATAAGTGGGAAGTAGTCAGAGGAAAGCTGTGATCATGCAGCTACAGACAGGCTGACGAGGGAACTCTCTCGGAGCAGGAATAGCTGGATGCTAGCTCTCCGTTATGACAGCCCGGGCCTCCCCTCAGGCAGACCACTGCTCCTGTGCTCCATCCTTTTACACGAGGAGTCGGAGCAAGTGCACTGCAAAGTGCCCTGTGTTTTGCAGGCACTTACATTCTCTTGCTTCAAGCTAAGTCAGCACAGAACATAATTCAGTGTTTTCCTGCAATAATTGGGAACACTGTGCCGAGTTCCAATGATTACATTGGTGTCATCTTATCAAGAAACAACACAATCCATTATGGAGACACCTATTTTACATTTACAGCCAAGGCTGAGTTAGCAGGATGCTTTTCTTACACATACCTCAGCAAAAAAAAAACAACACCAGCAGATTTGCATATTGGTTCTGTGTACAGTGAACAGCAGCATAATGTGCATCCAATTAATAACAAGAAGTGCCATACATATCTGTGGTGATTGGCATTTGACTGGCAGCCAGTTTTACTGTGGCATTTAAACAAAGTTTCAATTAAAAGAAAATATTTGAGAGACCTGCAAAAACAGATACTATGGAAGAACTCTCCTCCTCTTTCCATATTTTATTATAATACATCTATATCATGCAAACGTATAAACAGCCCATCTTACTTCATTCATCAACACATAAATAGCAGGTGTTCAGCTAGCAACACAAGAATGTAATAACGCAAGTACAAGATGGACAGCTGATGGTACATGTCCTTACGAAGAGGGTGATCTTGCAAATCTCGGTCGTATTTTTAGTCTCTCACATAGTATGTGCTCATCTGCTAA